GCCGTATATCTATTTTTATTTTTGCATTTTTTTGATATCTTAAAAATATGTTTGTGTGTTTTTTTTTTTTTTAACAGGGTCGTAATATCAATAAGCAAATACAGAATGCTATAGAAAATATATATACAATTTAGTACATGTGGTAAACAATAAAATTACATTCAAAGTGAACATTCGAAATAATTTTAAATTACAAAGAATTAAAAACAATAATATTTAATTTTAATGAGTTTACTATTAAATTGTTGTTTTTAAACTTACAATATTCTGTGTCTTATTATTATAATTATTGTCTTAAAATTTGATAGTTAACATTTATCGGTTTTGTAAAACTCAAAAAATAAAATAAAATGTAATTTAAATGGTAATTTGAAACACTAAATAAAACTATAATAAAGTTTACATATACTAAATTATATATACTATTTTAAAGGAAAAATGTGTGCGATTGATGACTCAAATATTTAAATGTCAAAGGAGTTGCAAAAGTTTTGATTTGAAAGTGTAATCAGTCAAATATTAAAAATAGTACTTTTTTATATATGCACTATAAACAAGTTTAAAAAACACTTAATTATATGTGTATATTGGACATTATAAATATGAAAACGAGAATAAAGAGCAGAATCATAATGAATGATCGGTCCATGTCACCGCCCTCCCCCACCATGAAAACTTAAAAAAAAATGTTATTCAAATATTTTGTACGTAATTTGTATGAATTTATACGACAGTTTTCAGAATTTGTACGACGTTGTTATTAGACTTATATCAAAAATATTGAAGAGGGGCCAGAGACATATGTCCCCGGCCCCCCTAACGTAAATAAATTAGTATTCTTTTTTTAAATTTAGTATAACTCAAGAACTCAATTTGTATGAATTTGTACGACCATTTCCGGAATTCTTACGCCACCCCTCTCCTGTAATATGCGAAAAACCCTTTTTTCCATGTCCCTCGTCCCCCCAAATTTGAAATCTGAAATTTTTCTTCTACAAACATTTTACGCATAATTTTTATGAATTTGTACAATCATTTTCGGAATTTGTACGGCACCGATTTACCCGGAAAATCATTTTTCTATGTGCGGTACGGGGGGAAACGTTTCTCCAGCCTCACTCACGCGGAAAAATAAGTTTTTCCAAACATTTTCTACGTCAATATTTAATATGTGACTAACATGCATTTGTACGACCGTTTCTAGAATTTGTACGTTACTTCCTTTTTCGCATATTACAGAAGAGAGGTTGCCGTAAAAATTCCGGAAACGGTCGTACAAATTCATACAAATTATATGTAAAATGTTTGTGAAAGAAAAAGTTTATATTTCAAATTTAGGGGGGCAGGAGACACGGGAAAAAGGTTTTTCGCATATTACAGGAGAGGAGATGCCGTATAAATTCTAGAAACGGTCGTACAAATGCATGTAAATCACATTTTAAATATTGACGTAGAAAATTTTTGGAAAAAATTATTTTTCCGTGTGGTTGAGGCTGGAATATCGTTTACCCCGCTCCGCATGTAAAAAATTGAGTTTTCCGGGTAAATCGATGCTGTACAAATTTACGGAAATGATCATACAAACTTGGTAGAAGTTTTACCCTGGTAGTAGCAGTAACCACTCAGGGGGAACTCAATTTTTTTTGAAAATGAAAAAGTAAATATAAAAAATAGAAAAAGACAACTTGAATTTTAAATGGACTGTATAATTGAATTATGAAAGAAATAATATATAAACAATAATTAACTGAATAAATCAAATGTGTGGCCCACACGGCGCACAATAAATAATTATTGTATACACAATGCTGGCTCTACATTGGCACAGTAATAATAATAAATTTATAATAATAATGGTAATAATATAATTTGGCCCAACACGGCACACAATAAATATAATATAATCAAAATGTTAGGCCAACACTAAATAATATGCGGCCTACACGACACGCAAAACGATATAATAAATTACAATAATAATGATGTACCTTCGACGGCTAGGCCCGTCGGCCTTTAAATACAAATGAAACAAATATGGTCGACCAATACTCACATGTGACTATGTCGAATGGCTGATTTCATCTACGCGACCGCACCAACCCTGTGATTAAACAATTGCCTACGACGGCACACCGCAGTGTATAAAATAAAAAATAAATCACAGAATTGGTACGTGCGACCACCACCACAAGCACAGTCACCAACGAAAAAACTGCAGTGGTCCACAGCCCTGGAAAATGACACAATGAATGAAAACCACTTTATTCACAACGCAACCGCTGGTAAAACTGAAAAACAATGAGATTAATCGCTGGACAATATCAGATTGCCCCGAACGATACTTTACCAGACGGTCGATTCACAAACGAAAATGACACTATTCAACAATGTGGTTTGAACAAATGACTGCAGACGTACGAAAACTTGAAACGAAATGAAATTTGATGTGCACACCACGAAGACACAAAAACAATTTTGAAAACGTGGAAATAACGACACTTTCATGTGATGATAACAGCGCGATTGCGTACCCGGCCGGTCGCACACGGAGGCTTATCATCGCCGCCGACGAGGGCGGCTGATACGCAACGCACCTCTACGCATCGCACGAAAATGATAACATAAAATGACAAACAAATGAATTGATACAACATAAACAAAACTCATACAAATTATGTGTAAAATGTATACGAAAGAAGAAGTTTAGATTTCAAATTTAGTGGGGCGGGGGACACGGGAAAAAAGGTTTTTCACATATTACAGGAGAGGGGTGGCGTAAAAATTCCAAAAATAGTCGTACAAATTCATACAAATTATGTATAAAAGGTTTGTGAAAGAAAAAGTTTAGATTTCAAATTTGGTGGGGGGGGGGCACGGGAAAAAGAGTTTTTTGCATATTACAGAAGAGGGGGTGGCGTAAAAATTCCGGAAACGGTAGTAAAAATTCATACAAATCGAGTTCTTGAGTTTTACTAAATTTAAAAAAAGAATACTAATTTATGTACGTTTGGGGGGCCGGGGACATGTGTCTCTGGCCCTTCTTCAGTATTTTTGATATAAGTCTAATAACAACGTCGTACAAATTCTGAAAACTATCGTATAAATTCATACAAATTACGTACAAACTATTTGAATACAATTTATTTTAAGTTGTCATGGTGGGAGGGGGGGGGGCGGTGACATGGACGTAATGAATATTGTGTTTTTCATTTACAGCCATATAAGCTTAAAATGTAATGTTTATAACTACTTCGATAATTAACATTCTTACGTTAAGTTTTCAAACGAAATCACCATATAAATTAAATCTTCTTTTAGTTAGTTTCGGTCATGATCTAGACATGCGCGATCACAAATACCTCTCTCATACCGCTTCTTATGTACTTTTTAACTTTTGAACTTGTCCCTTACCTCTCTTATAGGTGGAAATCTATGGAAATTTGAGGAGAGCCGATATTTTGATCGATGTACCGAGCTACAGGAGGCTTTGCTATACATTGCCGTACAAAAAGTCAAACCACGTGGCGATATCTTAGTTTTTGAAGTGTGAGAAAACCTCCTAGCCCATATTACTCATGGATAAGGTAGCATTTTAATGGTAAAAGAATGATTGTAGTGATTGAGTGATCCAGTAGATTTTTGCGAACAAGCAAACGATACATATATTTATTTAAGGATACATTTTGGGTTACATTATTGGAGTTGTAGTAAGGAACCCTAATATTTTTGAAAATATAATATATCCTATGTCACCCGGGGATAGTGTAGCTTCCTAGCGGTAAAAGAATTTTTCAAATCTGTCCAGTAATTTCGTAGTCCATTAAATGCAAACAATCAAATAATTCCTATTTATTATATTATATAGTATATAACCTGGATATTGGCTGCAGCGCCATTTGCTGAGCTGATTTGTGAATTTATAACACCATCCAGGGTATCACCCAAATGCATACAAAAAAATGCATTCGATTAGGTCCAGCCGTTTAGAAAGAGTTCAGTGACATACACATGTACAGTAGAATTAAATATATATATGTATAAATATTGTCAATGTTCAATAGACCCAGAATAAGGATTATATAGATTTATATTTATAAGAAAAAGCATAGTTTTATTAAAAGATCACCGCTTGTATTCAAATTAATTTGATTTTGAGTTACGAAAATAAAACCATTAAAAATATATATGTTCTTGAGATCATCATGTTTATCCACTTCATAAATTAAAAATCAGATCTTGCCGTTTTTGTTATATCTTCGTCTTGTCTGCTGTAGAAATATCACGGATTAATAATGATGACAAAATATAAAACATTATAAATATGTAATTGTAATCCACATAATTTTTTTTTTTTTTTTGCAAGAATAATGGTTTTCAACATTAGCCTTGTCATTTAATTATTCAAATTATTACGACTGTTAAGTGTCCAACGAGCGGTGACTGATCTGATGTTTGATGACCACGACTGGAACTGTCGCGACGTCATTGCCGCCTGCAGATCTGTTTTTCTATGGCTAAAATTTTAAGAACATAATACCTGTCGTTTGATTGCCGAAAGAACACATTAATCATCGTACCGCGCAAGCGTGAACCTGCTATATCAACTATGTAGATTAAATATTTTTAAAATATTCACTCGTCACTCGTGGAAAATCCAGACGAACATTACCTGTAGCTCTATCGTTTAATGTTTTCGAATTAGATCGCTGAATATGTTGAATAAATATCACTGAGTATATTGAACCTTCCCTGTAAACAGTTCAGTTAATCTTAAACCGACAGAGATATAAGAATTTATAAAAATTTAGGTACCACTCTATTGGGATCATGCGCATGCCAGTAAGAATTCAATATGAAAAATGGAAATGTAAAAAAAACTTTTTCCCAAATCATTGTTATATAATAAACTGTAGTCTATGAATTACGCTAATATTTATAAACATTTTAACTATTGATCTTAGTAATTACAATTTAAACTATATTTTATAGTTAATTCAACCATTAAAAATTACTGTTAATTATAGTAATCATTATTATAACAAAAAAACTATATTTATATAGTCGTAATAATTACATCATGTGAGTTATTTTAACTATTAAATAATTATAATTTCTATATTTTATTTGACTATGTTATTTTAGTAATTTTTTTTTTTTTGTAATGTTTATATACGGCGCAATAATAAATTAAGCATATATGTGTGTAAATTGTCATTATGAATAGGCTGCCAATTGTTTTTATTGTTGTACAATATGGTTCACAGAATGGAAACAATTATTATTGTCTTATGAGTAGACACCTTATAACGAACCCAACAAATAATATTTTTTGTTTCCAAATAAAAAAATGTAATTACCCATAAGCATATGTAACATAGGTAATTACTGAAAATATTAACTTTTATATTTTAATTTTTTTAATTTTTTTGATGTTTATTGTCATGTAAACTTCAAATAAATTTAGTACATATCGGTAATTTAGCTGTAGGTGATAGTGTTATGCTTAAATTTACAATATCATCAAGAAGGTTACGTACCTCAAGCACGTAATAATATTCAACAAGTATAAATTTACTAAACTACTAGCCATGAAAGTCATACCGATTACCATCGTTATTTTGTTGTTAGTTTGTTCGATCCAGATAACTAACTCCCTTATTCCTAAAGGTAACAAATAAAATTGTGTAATGTAAAATGTGTAAATACTTGATATCACGTGTGTTTTATAATTATCAGATTTTGAGATATTACATTTTATTTTTTTCATTTGTATAATTTGATTAATATAATTATTAATTAGGTTATTACTGTAACATGAAATGTATACGTGTTTTTGGTCTCTATATTTGTAAAGATTTTTATGAGCCAAATAATTCCAGAAGTTTCGTGTAATAATGTTGATCGAATAATTTATAAGCTACAGGGCTGACGTTAGGGAGGGGGCAGAACGGGGCATTTGTCCAGAATCTCGCTCCATCAAGGTCCTCGCGCCTTAAAATTTTCATTGAAAAATATTTTGTACGAAAATCTCGTAAAATAAAACATGAAATGTGTGGATCGCCTAACGAGTGCGATTTATAGAGAAATCCGTTGGAGTGTAATAAAAAACCAATTATCAATAATATTATATTTTATATGTCATATATACCCCAACAACGACTTGTACGGCACGCCGCAAAGTATGAAAACTGGGATACATAGGGAATTTATTTTATTGCATTTCTTCAATTTAATCAGTCACTACCTGATATTGCATATATTACACGTTATCGCCTTTTATAGCGGCCTACAGGCTATAGGACTATTTTCGGGGGTAAAATAAATTTTTCCCAGGGCCACGCAATTGATAAAGCCGTTCCTGGTAAGCTGCCTACTTAAAAAAAAAATTGGTTTTCATTATTATTTTCATATTGTTTTGTATAAAAATATATCCTTACAATCAATCCGATAAATTATTTCACTCTTACATTGTATTCATAAAACGTAATTATTTTAAGTTTTTTATTTATTATTAAGTTATTGTGATATACGTTTTCATTATCTTTTAATTTGTAAAGTATGTAAAAAAAAAATGAAGAACTATAATATGTCTCAATTATAATTTCAGGTGGTAAAAACACTGGTTAGAGGTAATATGTTCTTTCAATCATACATACACATCTCAAATTATATCCTTAATTTTTCATTAATAATTTATTTCAGGCCAGAAATTAGCATTACCTTTTAGAACAAGTATGTATAATATATTTTCATACATTTATTTAGTTTTAAAAAGAAAAATTCTGACAGATGTGTTAACAAGTAATTTGAATGAGAATGGATTTTTTGAATAATAAAAGTTATTTACTATTAAACTGCACTCAACCATTAGATATAAGTTTTATTTATGACATATCAAATATAACCGGGCATTAATTTTTAAATATGAATACATACAATTAATATTATTTATATTATATGTAAATTTAATTAATTAATTTAGGCGATGTTAATAAATTGGTTCAATATACAATGTATGAAGCAGATATGATTAAATTAGCAGCCTATAATCAATTGAAACGTATTTATCAGGTAATTATTTGTTTTTATTTTATAACCCATGTACTAGAACTAATTAAAATTAATTATTATTATTTATTTTTATGTTTTTATAGTTTTGCAGTAAATTATTTTTATAATTTTTTTTATATTTTATTAAAAATAAATTGATTACAGAATATTAGTCATAATTTTTGAATATACATTTTCTCAATTTCTATCCAAAAAATTAAAAATAAATTTGAATGTAATTATTAAAATGTGTTTGGTGATTCAAGGAACACTTTGAATGCCGATCAATTCTACCATTGGTAAATTGTCATTAATATTAGATTTCAAAATGATAAGTAGTATGAAAAAATAATTAGACATTTCCGAATTCTAAAAAAATCTGATTAATTATACAGGCTTTTAGAATATTATATAAAATACTATGTGCAAGTTTTTTTTTTTTTTAAGTTTATTTATTAATAACGAAGTTATTTCCTTTTTATTCTTCCTTTTTGAAACAATATTGGAAGTCAATATTTGGAACCTCCTCAAGTTGTTTCAGTTTTTGATAAACTATCCACCACATTTTATTTTAATGTTTCAATATCAGTAAATCATTGTTATTTGAGGTCAGTTTTAATTTTTGGAAATAAAAAAAAAAATCACAAAGGGTGAGGTTCGGTGAGTAAGGGGGATATGGTAGGATTGGAATTTGTTAATCAGCTAGAAACTCACGAATTGATAAGATAGAATGAGCATGACTCGTCTCATTCATAAATCTTCAGTGAAAATAGATTGGAATGATACATAAGAAATCTTACACTTAATAGAAATTTCTCTTATTGTCATTTGTCTGATCGAATAATTTTTCGTACTTTTTCCACCATTTCTACATTTCTTGAAGTTGAAGGTTGCCAAGTACGAGGGTCATCGTAATGTCTTCACGACCCTCAATAAATATTTTATGCTATTCAAATATTTTAGATCTACTTATTGCTTCATCTTCAAATGCTTTTTCAAAAGTTTCAGTCGCTGATTTACCGCACTCAACACAAAATTTAATGCAAATTCAGTAATCGAGTTTATTCAACATGACAAAAAACGGCAAACAATATAAAAATATATGAATTCAATGAACTGAATCACATTACTAAAAGTTAATATTTACTCATAGCTTGAATAACATAATTGAGTGTTATCTCTACTTTATTTAATATGTGTAAAATCCAGATTTGGTTATTTTTTGCTTAGATATAATTTTAATCACGGTATATGTTGATTATACCTCGTATTTAAAAAAAAAAAACTGAATAAAATATGTTTAATCCTATAGGAGAAAATACAAGCAGACAAATTAAAAATGTTTGTTCCAATGATGCAGGCTGCTATAGAAGTAATAAAATCTCATGGTGCCAATAATAGTTTACTGGGAATAAGAAGTACTTATTCCGAGGGTGAGTTATTTAATTATAAATTATTTATATTCCTATAGGCTTAAGTGATTGCTTGTTTAAACATTTTTCTAGAAATTTGATATTTAAGATATATGTATATATATATATATATATATATATATATATGTATCTTTGTATTATGTAATAAAATGTAATGATAATTTGTATCTGTACGTAACCCATACAGAGACGAATATAGATAAATATATATATAATTAAATATATTTGAATTTATCGTTAGTATTAGTTTTTTTGGCCTTTTTATAACTATTATTTTTACTGGAACTATTTAAAAAAATTCAAAACTTTAATTTTTTTCAGGAAAGAAGTATGCAGAACACTGTTTGAAAACAATAACTGACCTTAGTACTAAGGCCACATGTTATAAATGGAAAGCTTTATTTATTGAAGCTTCCTTTTTCAGTAATAATATTAAAGCAAATGTAATTGTAAAAGATTCGTTTGCAAGGGCTTATAAGGAAGCTATGATAACATTAAAAAATGATCCAAAATTAATGTACGCGAGGACTAAAGTTTCATGCAAAGTAAATTATGGATGTTATTTAAAATTATTATACTCGATTGTTTTCAAACGGTTTGGTTCCGATTTTGATTCATAGTTTTAAAGATAAGTCAACACTATTTCGTTGATATTTCAGACCAAGTACGGAGTTGTAAAAATGTATTAGGTTATTAAAAATATAGTCAATGAATTAAGTAATCTATGATTCTTGTCTCAACCAAAAATAGTTTATCAATATTTGTAGTAAATTTTTAATGTATATCTACAGGGTGTAATGATCTGTGGTTATATTTACGGTAAGTAAATAAAATAATTTTTGTAGATTAAATTAGCAGTACAAGGAAAAAACATACTTTCCAAATCATTGGTCAATTTATTTTTGGGAAGTACCAGTGACCATCAAGAAGTGAACTGTGTCACAGAACTATTAAAATATGAAGGATCTATTAATAAATATGAATCACATGGTGAAGAATTTTATTATTTATTGGGCCAAGCATTAGAGAAAAGTGGTGATAAAGGAAAAGCTCTGGAATACTTTAAGAAAGGACGTAAATTCCCTATTATTGACCAAAAGGTATTGAATATTCTTGAATTGTTAACATTAATTTTTAAACTGTATTAATATATACTGCAAGTGGTTGATACAAGTTTTGAGAAGATGAAAATGTTTGTAGCAAAAAA